CTGGTTGCACAGGGTTTCACCCAAGTTGAGGGCCTGGATTTTGAAGAAACTTTTGCACCAGTTGCTAGATTAGAAGCTATTCGAATTCTTTTGGCTTTTGCTGCTTCAAAAGGTTTCAAGCTTTTTCAAATGGATGTGAAAAGTGCTTTTCTGAATGGAGTTATTGAGGAAGAGGTCTATGTCAAACAACCTCCTGGTTTTGAAAATCCAAAATTTCCAAATCATGTGTTCAAACTTGATAAAGCTCTTTATGGTTTAAAACAAGCTCCTAGAGCCTGGTATGAAAGATTGAAAACCTTTTTGCTTCAAAATGGTTTTGAAATGGGGGCAGTTGATAAAACTCTCTTTACTCTTCATAGTGGCATTGATTTTCTTCTTGTCCAGATATATGTTGATGACATCATATTTGGTGGCTCCTCTCATGCACTTGTTGCCCAGTTTTTTGATGTGATGAGCAGGGAATTCGAAATGAGCATGATGGGAGAGCTGACTTTCTTCCTTGGACTTCAAATTAAGCAAACCAAGGAAGGAATCTTTGTACATCAGACCAAGTACTCCAAAGAGCTCCTGAAGAAGTTCGACATGGCCGACTGCAAGCCAATCGCCACTCCCATGGCAACTACTTCATCGCTTGGTCCTGATGAGGACGGTGAAGAAGTTGACCAGCGCGAGTACAGAAGCATGATCGGCTCCCTCCTCTACCTGACTGCGTCAAGGCCGGACATCCACTTCTCCGTGTGCCTGTGCGCGAGGTTTCAGGCTTCTCCAAGAACATCACATCGCCAAGCAGTCAAGCGCATCTTCCGCTACATCAAGTCCACACTTGAGTACGGTATTTGGTACTCCTGCTCTTCTGCCCTTTCAGTTCGAGCTTTTTCAGATGCTGATTTTGCTGGGTGTAAGATTGATCGCAAAAGTACTTCTGGCACTTGTCATTTTCTTGGCACTTCTTTGGTCTCTTGGTCCTCTCGTAAGCAGTCTTCTGTTGCTCAATCAACAGCTGAGGCTGAGTACGTAGCTGCTGCTAGTGCATGTAGTCAAGTTCTTTGGATGATTTCAACTCTGAAAGATTATGGTCTGTCTTTCTCTGGTGTTCCTCTGCTTTGTGATAATACAAGTGCAATCAATATTGCAAAAAATCCAGTTCAACACTCCAGGACCAAGCACATTGAGATACGGTACCACTTTCTCCGAGACAATGTTGAGAAAGGTACCATTGTGCTAGAATTTGTTGAATCTGAAAAACAATTGGCAGACATTTTTACAAAACCACTTGATCGCTCTCGTTTTGAGTTCTTGCGGAGTGAGTTAGGGGTGATCCACCCCTATGGCTTGATTTGAGGGAGAGTTGTTTTTCTTTTGCAAGCATTTGTAACATATTGCATCATGTTTACTTTATGCATTGTATTATACACTCTTCAATTGAGCTTTGCTTGTTATCTCTTGGTCATCACTATGCTATGCATGTATCACTCTTATGCTAGTTTGATCTCTTGTCTAGCTTTCATTTGCTTAAGTAGCTTGTGTGATCATGTTATGCTGTTCAAGCGTGTTGAAACCTGCTTAAATTAACTATTCATTTGAACTCAATCAATGTGCAATGCTTGCTCTAGAAGTTTGTTTAAATTGAAGTATCCATCTCATACTCATGCCATGTTTACATTCTTTTTGCAATAACTGTCAGTACATGCTTATGAATGCTCATGCTTATGCGTCCATACTTTGTATCAATCATGCTTTACAAGTTTTATCTCTGTTTTTGTCCGGGCTACTGAGTGCGTTTACGCATGAGTAGTGCCGAAGATAGCACTGAGACAGCCTGTAATGGGAACTCTAGCTGGAAAACTTGATTGAGGTCAGACGGCAGTGTTTGGCACAACCATCACTTGCTGACTGATAAGATCAGGTGGACCGTCGTGATTGTGCTATTGTCTTTAAAGAAATTAAAAAAAATCATAAAAATAAAAGTCAAGAGAAAAGATTAAAAGCTCATGTTCTATGCTTTGTTATCATGTTGATACTCTTTATGAACTGGGCATTAGCACATTAGCATGGGTTCATTGCTTTGATTATGTAAATCTTGCATGATTATGAGCTGGTTTGCTTCCTTTTAAGCTTCTTCTAGAAATAGCTTTGCACACTAAATCACTAATTCACTTGAAAGCTTTTTGCTTGCTGGCGATACTAACTTGATATTCATGACTTGTTTCATACTTCTTATGCACATGCTTAGCTAGGCTTGAGCACATGCTTGTATCTGTGTGATCCATGTCTACCTTTTGATGCCTTTAGATAACTCTCAAAGCTCTCAAAACACTAAAATTTGCAAGTTTCATCTCATTTTTATCTTGCATTTTTGTCTCTTTTGATCTTGATGGCATCATTGACAAAGGGGGACAGAAATTTGCACTTATTGAAAATTAAAACTTGCTTTAAATCTTGGTGAAAGGGGGAGTTTGGCACATAGGGGGAGCATTCTTGCATTTGCATTTGCATCCCTTTTTCTTCTTGTCACTTGGTCTTGATTTTTCGCGATTTCAAAATGACCAAAGTTCGACTTTTGCAAAATGGTTTGCTTTGTGAATCAAAAATCAAATTTTCAAAATTTTGCTTGAGATTGTCAATGTTCCCATCAAGGGGGAGATTGTGAAACCATGTGTGGTTATAGTTCTTTTGTGATGGGAAATTGACAAGTACCGGAAGTGCAAGAAGTGTGTGCGTGGACTAACATTGGTCAGGTTGCGACATCTGTGCCAAGACAACGGTTGTTTGGTTCATGTGTGTGCAGGTGATCAGGGTCGATCTTGGTCAACGGCGGATCGGGACTAGACTCAGGGAGGAGTTGAGGTCCAGAGCGATCGAGGATGCCGGGTGACAAGATTGGACACAAGGTTGCACACGGTGGACGGACACCGTGTGAGGAGGTCTTCGCAACAGACTTTGCAAGGTCAAGTGCAAGTGCCGGGTGCGCAAAGAAAATGGTGAATGGAAGAAGAGCTTGCATATATGCACTAGTGTGTGCATATGCAAGCATGGGCAGCTAGTTGATTAGCTAGCTAGCTTGTGATGCTTCGGCAGTGCATACGGTCCAATACCATGCATGACTGCATGTGGGCTGGCTGGAAGAGAGGCCAACCGGCCTGTCCGGCTCGGGTGTTCGGTCAGCAGGAGGCCACATGGCCGGTCCTGACTGGCCCAAGATGGAGACAGCCCACGGCGACGGGCCCATGAAGACAAGGCAAGCAAGTCCAAGGCATGCGGGGGGCGGGAGCCGTACGAGCGACGTGGCGTCCTCCCGTTCGACGGACCACGGCATCGGCAGGAAGACGTGACACGCGGCAGGCAGCAACTCGGAGGCGAGCGCGGGAGATCTCGGCGATGGCGCGCGCGCGTGAGGGACACGCGGCAGGCGCGGACTTGACCGCGCGCTCTCTCGCGGGAGCTATACCGCGTGGGTCCTACGCAGATTTTGGACGGGATGCGCGGGAAACTTCGCTCGCTGACCAGAGCGCGAGCGCGCGCGGAGCACGTGGACACATGGCGCATGTGGATAGGCTCGGATGGGCATGACGCGGATCGGGGGTGCGAGGAGTCTTCGGATCGACGACGTGGCAAGCATCTAAGAGGTTTCCTTCGCATGTAAGGAAGAATGAACAGCCGGGATTGCATCTGAGATAGGGTTTCGTCCTAGGGGTATTTGAGACAATGTCTTAGGGGTTTTAGGCTATAAATAGAGAGATGGATGCAAGGGTGGAGGTTGCTCCTTTTGTAATCATTTTGAGATGCTCGGTGAGAGAGTTTCCGTGTGAGTTTGGAGTGTGTTTGCCCGAGAGGCTTTTGTATTAGGATTAGTTTGGAGTGTGTTTGTCCGAGAGATTTTAAGTTTGTGTTAATGTTCCTCTGAAGGTGTATGTTTGCTCCTAGTTGAGCGGTTATTTTGCATCACCTATAAATGAAATGATTTGAAGGATTTCATTTTTGCCTTGTCCATTTAAATTCCGCAATTTAAATTCCGCTTGCAATTTGAACTTTGCGATGATGAATTTTGCTCACTCTTCCTCACCTCTCTTCTAGTTTCGGGAATTCCTTTTCTCTTCCTCCTCTAGTTTCGGGAATTCCTTCTCTCTTCTTTTTCTCTCTTCTTTTCTAGATCCGGCTTCTCTAATAGCCGCGGTTCTAGTAAGGATTTTGAGAAATCCGGCTTGATGAGTATTTTCGGGGGCAAGATTTGAATTGCTATATTCACCCCCCCCCCTCTATAGCTGTTCTTGGTCTTTCACAAATACTAAATGATTTCAACTGAAAAAGTCATCAACAACGAAGTATGTTGATTCTTGACCACATCCTTGATGAGAGACTCTTTAAGGTTCATAATAGCTTCCGTCATGCTTATGCTTTCGGTATGTTTCAAATGCGCTCGGCCGTGTATAGAGATGCTTTAGTGAATAGTCCCCCTTTGTCTCTGCCACTGCTAGAATCCTAATTTTGTCCGAGAGTCCTTAGGGAATAGCCGAAGGCCACTCAGGAACCTATCAAGTGGGCGACGGTGCTATATCTAACCGAGTGTACATGCCACTACCTTCGGGTATTGGATGTAATGGCCGATGGTTTTGTTTATCTCCGAAGGTTTGCTCTTACCCCATCGGTAACAGCCGCTAGTGGCTGAGAGTACTCAAAACACCGAGAGTTCACAAAATCACCGCGTCGACCTAGTTTTCGTGGGCCTTCGTGAAATAATTAAGCCCAAATCTCGTTCCATGGATTCTAAAGACCTACATATACAGAACCGATTTTGCTATATCTCACTCGAAAGATTTTTTCTTATCTCTCACTCGATTTTCTCACTCAAATTTACAGTGCATTTTCTTATAAGTTACAGTGTAATTTATAAAACTTACACTGTAACTTTTGTAAGTTGCACTGTAATTTTTGAATCTTCGCATGTAAATTTTAAATTTTGTATTGGATTTGGTCTTTTTCTTGAGGATATGGTAATTTAGTGTCCATTATGGTGTTTCTTAATTGCTTTTTGCTTTTTATTATATCTATCGGATTTTAATCCAATGATTAAAAATCTGTGTGATACGATCATAAAAATCTTTCGAAAGATGTATAGGTACTCCCAGAGAACGACCTAGTGTAACCTAGCCGACAGAATCTTCTCGTCTGATCCGTTCTTTCTCCCCATCCAAAAATTCCTCCGATCCAAGAAGGTCTCTATCCTGCAGGATCAAGATTTTAGTCCACGCACCATGCCGCTGGAAAGGCAACCACGCCGCGTGCTGCCGCAACTGGGTGCATCGATGATCCCTCTGATCAACGGTAATGAGGTGTCACTGCCACAAGTGTGTTCTCCGATCTCAATCTACCTGCTCGTGGTAACAAAATGTGCCTTAATCCTTTTGCTGCTAAACTAATCCCTTTATTTTGCTTCTCGTTTTCAGGGTCAGTACTACCCGTGGGCAATTTGCCAGTCCCATCTAATTACGGTGTTCTGTTCATTTTGCTGATAGACGATATTCTGATCCATTTTGCTGAAAACAAAGCTGCTCTCATCCTGGTTTGAAGTCATTGATTTTTTTTTCACTTTTTACTAATTGATTTTTGTAGCAGTCCCAACAGCCCAACATATTTATTATGATCTTTCTGTTCCTTTTGTTGTCAGATGTGCTGTCAATCGAGCAGTAATACGGATGGGAGGCAGACCGCATACAGATGCATAAAGGGATGGAAGACTAGCATTACTTTTTTTCCCAAAAAAATCTTGTATATGATCATTTTACTTGGAATATATGTAACTTCTGTAAACAATTATTTGTTTCCTTCAATGTATATACGAGTGAAAAAGTGATCACATTTATTGAGCAAATTTTGAAACGTTTATTATACACTATAGTCCAGGAGCATTATTGCATAATAAAAATGTAAAGGGATAGCTCTGTCACCTTTGTGCGGCATGATCAAGTGCCGAATTGGCGGGCCACTCAATAAAATAGAGAGGGTTGGTTTTTATTCTTGGACTGCCCTCTAGACTTCATTGATTGGGATCACCTGAACCTGGCAACTGCCTCTTTTGGTCAGCTTACTTTTTGGCTGAAAAGGGATCAAATGAAGGGCCGTGTTCTCATTAGGGCTAAGTTCAAGGACAATGACCCGCTTGGCTCAGGTGGGGGTGGTGAATCTTGGACTGTAGCTGTCTTTTTGCTAGAAGGGGACTTCATAAATATGCCTCCTGAAGAAGACATGCCCCCTTGCGGGCCCACAGCCAAATCCGGATGGTGATAATGCAGATGCTAATGACCTTGTTGAGGGTAACATTTGGTAGATGGGTCAGCCGGCCCAGCTTGGTGACTGGGATGATTTGGTACAACAGCAGCAAGCTGCTGATATTGCAGTTGAGGAAGCTTGGGGGCAGGACCACCCAATGGGTCAAGTAATGGAGGTTAATGTGGATGAAAGGTTGGCTCTAGTGCCCATAGTAGACAACAACACTCAAATCCAACAGCCAGCTCATGAACCACAGGTAGAAAATTTTTTGAAGGCATTGGAGGTCTTGGCCAGGAATGGAAGCCCCAGGCACCCATACTTCTATCCAATGACCGGTCTAAATGATAGGATTGAGAAACTCTGCAAAGCCAAGGACTTTATGGCTCTTTCATGCAAGCTAGCAGGGTTCCAACTGCTTTTAAGGTGGCAAATCCCTCACTACTCTGGTTCTACCAAAGAAGTCCATCTTTGATTCCACACCCTCAGTGGTCCAGAAAAATGATGTTTGGGTTTTGTGGCCAATAGAGTATGTTTCTTCTCCTCAGGAGGGCTCTCAGGCCCATGCAGAAATGGAAATTGTAGATGTTGTTCCCCTGGACATTCAACCTCCCTCAAGTCTAGTTTGTGTTGCCCCTCCTGTTTTGAAGCTGCCAAAAGCCCATGTTAAGAAAAGAGATGGCAAAACATCATTTTTTAATCCTTATAGAAGGCAAAGCTCAAGGCTTTCAAATGAGCAACGAAGATCTGAAGGTGGATCCCAGGATGGGGATAGGTAAGCCAAGAGGCAAATCTGCAAAGAATTTGAAGGAATTTGCAGGTATAGTAAAACTTTTTGTTGATGGTAGTATCAAGGAGTCAGATTTTTCTGAGAATCTTAATGATGATCTGCATTTTGATTCCTTTCCATCTGATTGCTCCATTTCTGTTTTGCAAAAGATGGGAGTGGACAACTGGACATGTGCGGGCTATCTCCTGAGGATGTAGCTGAATCAAGCCTGGGTCGTGAGAGAAGAAAGAAGATGCCCAGGCCTGAAATGGAAGATGCTTAATGTTAGATTACATGAATCTTTTGGCAGCCATGTGTCTGTTTTGTGATCTGAACTTTGCTCCTTGCGTCTATAATATAACCTGGATGACTGTCATCTTTCTGTTATTTACTATGTATGGCTGCATGTTTGGACCTATTGTGTCTCATGCTAATTTGATTAGCTCTGCTATTTCTTTTGCTCTGATGTCTCCTCATGAGTAACAGTTTTAAATCCTGGAATGTGCTGTGTTGGAATATTAGGGGTATGAATGCTGACTCCAAATTACTCTCTTTGAGGCAAAAAATAGATGACAGATGGCAGTGGCTGTCAGGTTGCTTGTATTTAGGAGACTAAAAAAATAATATTTTATTCTTTCTGATGTCATAAAATTTGTTCCTAAGAGATTTGACTCTTTTGCTTTTGCACCTTCTGCTGGTGCTTCTGGATGTATCCTGATAATCTGGGTCTCTAATGTTTTTCTGGGAACCATAAAAGAAGTTCACCACTTCTCTGTGACTGTAGACTTCATCTCAAGGCAATCCTCCCAACTTTGGTCCCTAACCTGTGTTTATGGTCCCTGTAATGGTCCTGCAAGAGATGACTTTCTTACTTGGTTAAAGAATGTTCAGATAGGGGCACAACAAAATTAGCTTTTCCTAGGGGACTTTAATTTTACAAATCAGTGGAGGATAGGAATAAATCTGGAGATGATATGAATGATATTATCATTTTTAATGATATCATCAACTCTTTGGGCCTGCTGGAAATCCCTCTGAAAGGAAGAAGATTTACTTAGAGCAGCATGCAGCAAAGTCCTCTCCTAGAAAGACTTGATTGGGTCTTCTCTTCAGCCCCTTGGACCCTTGTCTTTTCTAACACAATTGTGGTTCCCCTGAGAAGGAATATTTTAGACCATGTGTCTTGTGTGGTTAAGATTGATACTCAAATTCCTAAGTCTCCAATCTTCAGGTTTGAAAACTATTGGTTTGATATTGTGGGCTCTTATGAGATAGTCAGTATGGTTTGGGCTTTGGATCATGGATTTGATGATCCTACAAAATGTATTTCTTTCAAGATTAAAATGCTCAGGAAAAAGTTGCTCAATTGGAGTAAAAATCTATCTAAATTGAACTCGCTTCTTACAAATTGCAACCGGGTCATTGATTTTCTTTATCTTATTGAAGAAGCTAGGTTGTTATCAGTGGAGGAATGGAATTTCAGGAAAATTGTTAAGGGCCAAGTCATTAAGCTTCTTGAATTTAGGAAAATCTATTGGAAGAAAAGATGTACCAACAGATGGATGTTTCTTGGAGAGGAAAATACTTCCATTGCAACTAAAAGATATAGAGTCAATTTTATCTCTCAGATTCTGGACCATGAGGGTCAGGTGGTCTCTTCTCATGAGCAGAGAGCTGCTCTCTTTTATAAAAGCTTTAAAGACAGAATGGGTGTGTCCAATTATCCCACAATGGCTCTTGGTCTGAGAGACCTTTTTCCTATTCAGATAAATCTTGACAGTTTTGTGGACCCTTTTTCTACAGAGGAAATTGACAGCCTCATTAAAATAATCCCTGCTGATAAAGCTCCTGGTCCAGATGGGTTTAATGGGTTTTTCCTCAAAAAAAATGTTGGCACATTATTGCCCAAGATTACTATAGGCTGACTGCTCATTTTCACTCTGGCTGCACTGACTTGCAGACATTAAATAGTTCCTTCATAACTCTGGTGCCAAAGAAAAGTTCTCCTAAAACAATGAATGATTTTAGGCCTATTTCACTCATGCGAGTCAGCCTAAAATTTATAACAAAACTGCTGGTTGATAGATTGCAGGGGGTAAGTGAAAATAAGTATGGTTTCATTAAAGGACAGACAATCCAGGATTGTCTGGCCTGGTCTTTTGAGTATATCCACCAATGTTAGCAATAAAGAGAAATCATAATTCTGAAATTGGACTTAGAGAAGGCTTTTGATACAAAGAGCATTTAGCCATCATCTCTGTCATGCAGAATATGTGCTTTCCAATGCAGTGGCTCCAATGTGTTCAGATGATATTTTCCTCAGCCAGTACTGCAGTCCTGCTTAATGGGGTTCCTGGAAACAATTTTAGCTGTAAGAGAGGGGTAAGACTGGGAGACCCCCTCTCCCCTTTGCTGTTTGTGCTAGGAGCAGAGTTTCTTCAGAGAATTGTTAACAAAGCTTTTGGTATGGGGTTGTAGTCCAAGCCCATCAATGAATCTGATGGTAAAGGTTTCCCAATAATCCAAAATGCTGATGATACACTGATTCTGCTTAAAGCCTCACAGAGAGAGATCTTCTGCCTCAAAGCTCTTTTGAATAATTTGGCTCAATCCACTGGGCTCAAGGTCAATTTCAACAAGTCCAGTTTATATCCTCTGAACCTCACAACAGAAAATGTAGAGCTGCTTGCTGGTTTACTTGGTTGTTCCATTGGAACTTTACCTTACACCTATCTTGGTTTGCCCATGGGAACAACAAGACCTAAAGTTGTAGATTTTGCCCGTTTGGTTGATAGAGTGGAGAGAAAACTAACAGCAAGCTCTATGTTTCTTTCTCAAGGGGGACGTCTCACTCTGATAAACTCAGTCTTATGCTCCATTCCAACTTTCTACATGTGTTCTTTGCAGCTCCCAGTCACAGTGGTTAAAGCAATTGATACTGCAAGGAAGAACTGTCTTTGGAGCGGAAATAAACCCACCTCCACAAGAAAGTCTTTGGCCTCTTGGGAAATGGTATGCAGACCAAAGGAGAAGGGGGGTTTGGGAGTGGTTAATTTGAAGATCCAGAACACAGCTCTTCTTATGAAACATTTGGTCAAGCTCTATAATGGTGACAACTTGCCCTGGGTTGACCTGGTTTGAAATTCCTGCTATTCTACAAAGGTTCCCCACATGAACTTGAATAAGGGATCTTTCTGGATGAGAGACATTCTTGCCCTTACTGATATTTTCAGAGGTATTGCAAAATGCACCATCTAATCTGGAACCTTAGCCCTTTTTGGGGAAGATATCTGGAATGGGGATATCATGAGCATCAGATTCCCTAGTCTGTTTAGCATGGCAATTCATAAAGAGGAATTTGTGAAGAGCATGTGCTCAAGACCACTAGAAGACTCTTTTTACCTTCCCTTGTTAGTTCAGGCCTATGAGGAATTTTTGTTTCTGGAAGAAGAACTGAGTCATTTGCAATTGCAGTCTGTGCAAGGGGATAGTTGGAACTTTATTTGGAATTCAGGCATCTACACATCTAAGAGATTCTACAGGCTCAACTTTATGCCTTTACAGCCTCCCAGACATTTTGTTTAGCTATGGAAGACAAAATGTGTTATGAAGATTAAGGTGTTTGCATGCCTCCTTTTTAGTGACAGGCTCAATACCAGAGATATGTTAGACAGAAGGTATTGTGCGAAGGAGGATGATAATCTAGCATGTGTTTTGTGTAATGGTGAACACAAGGAAACTAGACTCCACCTCTTCTTTACCTGCCCGTTTAGTAGCAGATGTTGGCAGCATATGGGAATTGTTTGGAACCAAGACCTGGAGTTCTTTCAAATGATTATCTTAGCAAGGGTGAATTTTTCCAGAAAAGGATTCTTGGAAATTCTCTTCATTGCCTCCTGGCACATCTGGAAGTAGAGGAATGAGCTCATTTTTCAGAATATTTCTCCCTCTTTTCAATCTTGGAGAAGCCTTTTCAAGAATGAAGTTCTTCTGCATATGTGCAGAATGAAGGTATCTTTAAAACAAATAGTTTTTGATTGGTTACAAACTTTGTAATCTTTTTGTGTTTTCCTTGTAACTTTATTCATATTTTCTCTCTTTAATGAAAATATACTACTAGTCAAAGTCCTGGTAGTTTTCCCAGTAAAAACGAAGTTCTACGGTAAAGGGAAAGTAAGCAAAGAGAAAAGTTGACATCACTCCATTTCAATATTTTGCTCCACCAAAACCACAACACCAAAAGTACCCCAAGTCAGTTAGCTCCATGCTTTCGAAAAAACCAAAAGTAATGGCATATAGGCATACTTCCAGGACCTCTCAGCCTACTCTTGAGCACTGCACAAAGAAGGATAAGAGGGCCAAATCAATTGTTGATGACCATGTTGCTGATATTTTTTATGCGAATGGTATACCATTCAACGCCATTAACTCAAGAAGTTGGGAGATTATGCTTGAGTCCATAGGTCAATATGGTCTTGGGTATCGTTCACCTACATATCAAGAAATTAGGGAGCAATTGATTGAAAGGGCTATGAATAGGGCAGCATAATTGAGGAAGTGCCAAAAAGAGGTGCTTTTTTATTGGGTTTGGTTATCACAGCAGAGAACAACAGGTTTGCAGCTTGCAAGTCGCTGAAACGTGCCAGCGTCAGGTGAACGCGGGTTAATTTGGGATTTGGAAAGCCATTAGCCGTAGGAGTATTTTTTACCTGTGTTATTATCTTACACGTTTCACCCTTCTCTCTCTCGTAACAGCCTAAAAGGAGCAAATGGAGTGGACCCAGTTGCAGTGGCTCATGTGTCATGTGCTATTGCTGTTGCCTTTCAACAGTCAGCCCAGACAATTTTACAGCTAAAAAAGCTTAAAAGGTAATAATCATGAGTACATGTGCTAAGCGAAGCAAAACAATTTCACGATGATGATTTAAATTTAAGAAGAACAGTCCCGTCGCCAATACAAAGCTTGCTAAGGCAAACCGTGCAGAAGAATTAGAACATCGGGTTCTCTTGAAACAATGAAGCATTTCTACTTTTTTGATTGAGCCATGCCATGGTAAAATGCTATGTCACAAAAGAAACATAATGGACAACAAAACTCTCACAGTAGCCATTAGCCAAAGAAGATGTCACGGGTGTAGGCAAATTGAACATCTATTGATTGAGCCAGAGACGCCATGGTAAAATGCTAGTACCATATTGGACAATAAAACTTTCTCAAAATAGCCAAAGGAAACATCACAGGTGTAGGCAATCTCATCATGGTAGTAAAACAACATATGAGATAAGTTGCTCTACATGCTGTCATGAAGAGGCTTGGAAGGAATATGGTTGCACACTCATGTCCGATGGGTGGACGTACACGTGCCACTGCCACCTCATCAACTTTCTTGTCAATAGTCCAGCATGAACCTTCTTTATAGGATCAGTGGATGCTTCAAGTGAGATAGCTAATGAAACTATGTTGGCTAATTTGTTAGAGAAGCAAATTGACAAGATTGCGAAGGAATATGTGGTTCAGGTTGTCACAGACAATGGATCCAACTACAAGGCAGCGGGAAAATTTCTTATGGAGAGGATCCCACACTTGTTTTGGACACCTTGTGCTGCACATTGCTTGGATTTGCTATTGGAGGATATTGGGAAGATAAAGGCCTTCAATAGTTGCATCAATTGTGCAAAGAAGGCGTGCCGGTTTATCTACAAGCATGGGAGGGTTCTTGATCTAATGATGAAGAAGATAGGTGAAGATCTTGTGAGACCAGCTGTGACTCGCTTTGCCACTTTATTTCTCACATTGGCCAGTATGTATGAGCACAAGCAAGGGCTGAGAAGTTTATTTGTTAGTGAAGAACAACATGCTAACAATTTGTCTAGTACCCATGAAAGCCAACAAATTAAGAGTATTGTCCTTTCAATGGCATTTTGGGGCAGAATGGAAAATTGTTTGAAAGCTTCACAACCACTTCTTGTTGCTCTAAGGATAGTAGATGGAGATGAGACACCGATAGCTCTAGAGATCATGGCAGCCATGGATCATGCAAGGCGTTCCATAAATGATGCTTTGAAAGACAAGCTTACATTACTTAAAGAGATACTAGAGTGCTACGACAAGAGGTGGAACAACCAAATGGAGCAAAAGTTGCAAGGCCGAGGTCCATGTTCATTGATGTTGTATGAAAGATGGTGATTGAAAATGAAATATTCTTAGGCAAGCCAATGATTATGACATATCAGAAGGTGATTGCTTTTCAAAACCGTTGGCAACAAGAGATAGAGATAAAAAAATTCCTAGTATGTTTTGTATAACTAATTATCTATAGTTCCTTATTCCTTCTCCTTTTGTCTTCTTTGGGTAACTATGTTTATTCCTTGTTTTGGGTAACTATATTTATTGTATTTCAGTTCTTTGGTGGGGTGTAGGACTATCAACAAGCCGAGCTCGAGCGAGCTTACCAATCTAGGCTTGAGCTTGATAGAGACTCGAACCGAGCTCAAGGCGAGCCTCGTCAGACTTTGAGCCTCAAGACAGGCTTGAGCTCGTCTCGTTCGAGCTTCGAGCTTTTGCCGAGCTTCGAGTATGTTATATAGTGGGAAGTCAAGCCTTGTCCCACGCTACTACAAAGCCAATATTTGAAGTAGTACTACTAGAATATGCTATAGTACATGCTAGCAACCATACTTTGCAGTTTACAAATGCAACTTTTACGGGAAATAAGTGCACTGTTGATGGAGGTGCACTCTATACCAAGCATGCAGCCTTTGTTGATAAGTGTGCTTTGGTCTGTATGCCTGCTACGTGAAGGTAATGAGAGCTAGCTGGTGGAACAGGCGAAAAGTCCCAGTAGCAGCACAAAAACATGTGGGATTTTTGGAGCAAATGTGAGCGGCTGAGCTTGTTGAGCTATTCAAGCTCGCTCTGTGAGGCTTGCCAGCCTGGATGTAGGTTCGGGCTCGACTCGTTTAGAGTTCGAGACGAGCTTGAATCGAGCTCGAGCAGTTTGTGAGCTCAAGCCCTAGTGGGGTGCATATGGTGTCCTAGCATTTGAGCTCCAGAGTTTTGCAAAAAGGATTATTAGTCTTCGCATGTGAGTGCAACTGGAGTGCATTTGCTCATGTAAGTGAAACACAACAACTACTACTAGTACTAGCTAAAGTTTGCATTTTGTTACTAATCAATTACCAATGTGTGATTTTCCTTTGTTTTATCTTTTATGTGCATATCCATACAAAAAAAAGGAACCCATTAGAGCACAAAAGGTTGAACAAGTTGGTGTATATTAGCTATAACTGGAAGATGGAAAATAGATTTCAGAAAATTAGAGAGCTTGGCTCTAAAGGAAAGAGATGCAACCCACTCCTCCTTGAAGAATTCCAGTGGGAAAATGAATGCGTTGATGACAATTCTGAACTAGTTCATGTAGCTGATGAGGATCTCAATTAGGCTAATCTTGATCAAGCTATTGGTGCAACTTAGAGTCTACGAGGTCATGATTTGCCTAGGGCGGCAGCTGCTGCTGCTCATGATCGTGCTGCTGTCACTTATGGTAGGAAAAGGAAGCGTTCAAACAAGACAACTGTTGTTGTCCAAGATATTGTTGAGGATGTCGGTAATGATATTGGAATAGATGGTGGATAAGAACAACGACAAAGTAATGTTGGTTCAAAAGCTGAAGATGAGATGGAGGAGGACCAGCAACTTCAGGAGCAACTGGAGATGGAGGGGGCTTTGTTCTGGATGATGATTTGATTAGTTAGATGGATGCTTGTGTTGGAACTTGGAACTTGTGTTCTTCAGCTAAGAACTTCAGCTTTTTATCATTTGAAGACTGTTATTCTCAGTTTTTTATCACTTGAAGACTGCCTAATTATGCACTATGTAGCATTGTTTGTACTTTGTAGTGAACTTGCTTATTTATGTGCTACTAGCCTACTAATGTTGCAGTACTGGTTGGATGTTGCGCTGCTGGCTTTGCTGGTTTAATTATATTCTTTGTTGCCTTGTTTATATATTTGCTTTAGGCCTCAAGCTCCAAGTCTTATTTTTCAGCTACTAGTTTATGTTCATTTTTATTTTCAGCAGCAAGTCAAAAGAAATATGGAGTGGATATGGAGCTATGGACACCTCATACATCAAAACTTAAAGGTAAGTACCTTCTATAACCATCAAATGATTCCTTTATTATTGATTTATGTTGTGCACTATATAGTATATATATATATGTACTATATAGGTTCTAAGGTTTTGGCAACATACTGCACCGATCAAGCTTGATTAATCAGGCTGATCAACGATTAATCGGTCTGATTGGCCTGATCGGTGCCATGGCGATCAGGTTTGATCAGTCGATCAGAGAACATTATTCTAGTATATATTTCTAGTTTTGTAGGTATTTATCAATTTGCATTAGATTTTTTGGTTCGTCCATAAGATAGATGTTTACCCTAAATTTAACTCTAAATTGGCTCAGCTAACTGATTTTTTTTCCATTTTCTTGCCTTGATCAGGGGTCCATAAGTAGGCATCTACTTTTGACATCCCCATCACCAAGAGAGGCTCGGTGCATATGTTAGCTATAAAAAGGCGTTAATAATGTCCTTAAGCAGAAATGAGGTACATATTTTACCTTGTTAATCTAACATTATGCTACTTCAACACTAATAAGATATACCACAGTTAACACCAAAAATTGTGGTACATATGGTTATTTCCTCCTTTAATATAGACCATAAAAATACCTCTGATATATTTATATATCTAGACATTTTCATTAGATGTCACCCAGCTGGTGCTTAGTGCACACATACAAAACTCAACTCTTGCGAGATATTACCTCCGGTTCTTTTTTTTTGTTTGACGTGAAATAACCAACGTCAAATATTAATGGATGGAGGGAGTATATAATTTAAATCTCTTGATGATTAAGAGGGTGTCCCCTTCTGAGAGAGAGAGAGCGCGCTCAATGTAAAGTAGAATAATAGCATTAGAGCAGTAATCTTAATTAGAGATTTAGATGGTCATTTTTGGCTCTTCCTTGCTCCAGCTCGATCAAGCATGCATATACACACACATATATATACATGAATGTTCTCTATTTTCCTGGAGTGCTCTTGATGGCTTGCATCACCGCTAGCTCCACTGCATTTGCATCGATCCCTCCATCGGCTTCCTCGTGCTGTAACAATGACAAAATAGAATCCGATCGAAGTACATGAGCAAATGCAAACTCAAGCATCTTCAAAAATGTGTAGATTCGAATGCAAAGAGAATTTCTACATGTATTTACATTAATTGTGTACAAAGAATATATCTTACCTCTCCTCCTACTGCTTCGAGTCGAAATGAATTGGAGCATGAAGCCCTAGCCTCAATCACAGTGAGTCCTAACTCATCGAAGGCTTGCAGAATGGAGGATAGTAGCCCAGGGCTGCTTTTGTCCATGAACACATTGATGAGGAAACCCTTGTCTAGAACTTGAACTCTCACCTGATCGACCATTATATAGACATATTAATTTATACACCAATTTGTACACATCATGTCATTCAATCGATGAGAATGGATGACCTATATCAGCACATTGATCTTACCACAGGTGAGGGTTCTTCGCAAATATTCATGTTCTTTGCACACCCTAATTCTTTGTTCAGTGCGGCAATCTTCTGCTTCAGATCTTTGATGTATGTTGATGCATCAGAGATTATAGACATTTTATTTACCTGCGTGGGAAACGTATACATTTAATTCAGTTTCCCACTTTAAACTAGTTAATTAATTTTGTAAAAGACAAATCTATATGATATATTTTTTGAAAGGAAATCTATATGATATATATTATGATGTTAGGGTGGTTATTAAACTCTTCTAATATTTCTTCTTTCATTTAGCAACTTTATATTGGATGACTATTCTGTAATAATATATAAGTGGAGGCAGCATATAGAGGCTGTATTGATTTCTATTATCGATAAAAATATCTCTACAACGTAGACTACATATCTCCAAGATTCAACAGCAATATTTCCCGTCGATCATTAGGTACAGATAGCTAGTTTGTTCACGGCCCTTAATATAATTCTTGTTGCAGGTCAAAGATTACTGGAACTTGTTAATTTTCACACCTGGGGTTATTACTGGAACTTGTTGCAGGCATACTCTACAGTTAAAGAGTGAAAGATCGAAAGCCGTTCAAATTGTTCTCTACAATTCTTCAGAGAGAAAAAGCTTAATTTCTATAAATTGATATGCGTGACATATATTCTTTCACAAAGGATAAGAAACAAATTAAGAACTAAGAAAATGTTTTCAAGGTAAATTTAGGCCAGGCAGCTTACAGGAACTCGAAAGAAATCACCAGATATGTTCATTAATAATAGACAAAAAAAAAAGAAATTGGGTCAATCAAACGAGGCAAGCACAATGGAAAAAAACTTCTTGCAGTTTCTCTGGATTATTTGTTCATCTAGCTAGGATAAATTAAGTTTATTCCATGGAAAAAAAAGATGAATAAGCGTGTGAGAGATAGTACAAAGACATACCGCATGAGAATGGGTAAGAGTTCGGAGAATCTGCAGCTTCTCATGCAAACTCGCTCTCTTCTGCTCCCGGGAGACCATCTCTCTCTCTCTCTCTCTCTCTCTCGTGGTGAACAAGCTAAGCTAGCTCACTACTATGGTGGTGATGAGGCCGTGAGAGACTGAGGAGAGAGCTATTTAAAGACTTGGGCAACACAGGAGCCTCCTGACATGAGACACGGTTACTACATGTTAGCTATTCATTGGAGCCTTTGATACTCTCTCTGGTCAAGATCGATAATGACCGGAGCTCAAAGTATGCGTGCTCACTAGGATCGTGTACTAATTAAACCAAAACGCGTTACAATCAAAAGTAAAAATAATAATAATGTTAAGTAACATTGACCACATATCATGTTGAATTGAAAAACGAGGGATTATGAAATTAATCTATCATATCTAGTATCTTTCCTACATCTTCCATTATCTTAATTAAAACATATCTTGATTAATATTCTAGTGGTAATCGACAATGAATTAGTTGGACGTACCGTGTGCATCCTAATTATACAGAAACCGAAAATGATCTCCGAGCAATTGTATCATCTTAAAAAAGTGATTATTACCAACACATCTGTTTATAATTTGATTTGATTGAATATCACAGATAAATTAACAGAGAGGGTTGCATTGCAATGAGTGAGGAGAGGGCTATAGCTAGAGTGGCGTCGCCGTTGTATGTACGTCCACGTCATGCCAAGTCTGAGCCGGTAAGGCTCTTGTGTGTTGCATGACCAAATTTGGTTCACGCACGGACCAGGAAAAGTACAAAGGAATGTACTTTTTCCTCACATGACTCCTGGCCGGTCCGGGGCAGCAACCAAAACATCAAATTCCTTCCCTTATTCTCTACCCTTAAACAAATGGCCTCACACATTCCCCCCCATGCACTAGCTCCCAACGCATCATTCGATATGTGCCCACGGCCAAAACATATGACAAAGAGAGGGTAGGGGAGCCACCTCCTCAACTTCAATTCAATCAGTCATCATCGCTTTTACCTGTATATTCACTGATTGCCACATCAACATGCTAAGCCACTGGTCATTCATGTCTATCTCTCCCTGCTGTGCTTGTACTCCTCCTCATCAGTTATTGTTTGTTACCTCTTAATCAAGCATGTACAGTAGCAAGCTATCTAGGTGTAACTCTGAACAAGTAACAGCAGCTAATTAAGCTATAGCTAGCAAACAGCATATATATTGGAGGTGAGCTGAAGACATGTATACTATGCATGTGATACTAGTAGTGCTAGCAAACAAAGCCAGAGTCACAGAGAAACACACACACACACACATATATAAGACCTATATACACACATATGAGTTCTCTGCCAGTTGGACATGGCAGCAGGGAGAGGGCACAGGCCTGCAGCCACGCATGCAAGCAAGCGTACAATTGAGCTGCAGATCATCAGAGTCGACGATGTGTACAAGCTGGGGGGAGAGTTCACAAGCTCGATCGATCTCTAGCTAGCTAGCAAACATATATACGTATGTATATATATACTATACATATACGTGAAGCGTACGTACGTAGGAGGGCTGGGGTCTCGTGACGCGCGGGGTTGATTTGGCGCGACGCATGCCATGCCATGCCCCGATGCTAGCGGCCGCCGTCTCGTGATCTCTCCCGATCCCAGTGTACGTACTCGTCGTGGTCGTCGTCGTCGTCGCACCGATCGATCCCATATAGAGCCATATTGTAGCTAGCTGTGTCTACTGCATGCATGCTCGTGTTGTGCTGCAGCTAGCATCAGCATCAGCTAGCTAGCTGTTAGGAAACGATAGGCGAACAAATGATAAAAAATAATAGATCAATCACAGAAGACACGAGATTTAACATGGAAAACCCTCCTAAAACAGAAGAGAAAAAACCACGGGCACCAGCCAGCAAAATATTTTCACTATATCTGAGGTGAGGTTATATCGCCGCACGGCGGCTTACAAGAGGTATATATATATGGTGGAATCCTAAAAGGGATGACGATATAGTGCAAATGAATTTGGATCACAACTCAACACTAGCTAGAGCTCCCGCTGCTGCATGCGAGCTCGCGCCCGTGTGTCGTCGTCTCGATCGTCCCTGGCAGCCAAAACCCAAACGGCCGGGGATTCAATTCGATCGATCGATATCTCGCAAAAATCGTCACCTTGGTTGGCTTTGCCCTGTCCCGAGGTCTTAATTTGCTTGCGGCTGCTGCTGCTGCTGCTGCGCGCGTCTAGCTGCAGTATAGTTCACGTGTGTGTACGTATATCGATCGAGCATGGCTGTACAGTACGGCAGCAAGCCGTCGTCGCTCGCTCGCTGATCACGCGCGGCTAGGCGGCAGCAACGATCGATGCAGAGAGAGTAGCTACCGACGCGTGCCGCTGCTGGTTGGCGCGCGCGTTTGCATGTCATTTCATATCGCACAATATAAAGTAATATGAATTAAAAATAGGGGTAAACACTAGCACACAAACTCTAATAGGTGCCGGTTTCCTAGCCGGCATCAATTTGTTGGCACCACAACCAGCACTTGCATCCTCTCTGATTAAAAAAAAAAGAGAAGAAGCCGGCTCCAAGCCGAGCCGATGCTTTCGAGCCGACCCATTCAGGCCCATTCCCCGGTCAACAACAATCACATTTCAACATAGACCAATCACAGGTCATAACAACAATCCATCACAGATCCATGAAAAACAACAATCCATTAAGAACTACACAAGCAAGAACTACACGAACAAGAACAATCATGCATGAACTCATCGGTGATGTTGCCGCCGGAAACCCTTGGCCACCTGCCGCTGCCGCCACCTACAAATTAAGTTGAAGTTCTGAAGATAAGAAATGAGTGATCCAACCTAATACATTTTTACACGGTAAAGTAGTGATAACCAAATTTTATTAACGGGATTGCTAATATAACTATCTGTCAACGGAAAATCCATCCCCAAATCTTGTAGATTTGGGGCCACTTCACGATTCGTGCTCAAGGTGCTTCTTCTCAAACTCCGGTGACCTTCTCTTCTTATTCAGTGCCGGTGACAACCCAAACTTCGGCGGAAGACTGACGAATTAGGGTCCTGGGTTGGGGTGGGGGTGGGAGGGGTGGGAGGGAGAGGGGAAGGAGGGGGGAGTTCACTGGCTTTAGAGAGGTGGCCATGGGAGGTGGCAGCCCGATGATGGGCGACGCATGCATCGAGTGGGTGACCGCCGCCAACATCGGCCTGTTTGGAGGAGTGGCCTGTGGTGGTGGAGAGCCGCAGGAGATGGGGAAGACGGCACCACAGGGGCAGCTTGCCGCCACCGGCATGAGGAAAAGGAGAGGAGAGGGATGGGTAGGGCAAGGAAGCCAACCGGGAGGGCCTCGCCAGCACCGTTGATGCCTTCCAGCCAGCCGGCGAGGCCGGGTGGCGGTGGAGGTTATGTGAATCGTGCTCTCGTGCTACTGAGTGGCAGCGGTGTAAGGGAGTTAAGAGAAAGGAGATGAAGAGGAGGTTTTTAGGGTTTGGTTGCCCTGCACAATTTTTAAAGCAATCGAGTGGTCCAAAATTTGCAAGATTTCTGGGGAGTTTTCTTATCAAATGGCGTATAGACAGTCTGATGAGGAACTAGGTCCCGATCTTCTGATAGGTATTGATAACTCTCAATTTGGCGGAAACTTGACACACACGATCTGACTTCCGATCAACACGATCCGAACCCTGCAATCATAGCATGACGTCTCCTCTTGTTATCAATCGTGCACTGCCCGGTTGACCTCACCGAGAAGGCTAATTCTTACATGGGAATCAAAGAACACAAGCAAAAATAAGGTGGATTGCAACTTAATTGCCTATGAATGTTTAAGCACTCAAATTTGGGGTCCCACAAAAACCAAACAAGCGGTGAAACTGCAATGGCGGAAATAATATAAGCAAAATCCGACTCTAAGTGATGACGACAAAATCAGATTCGGACTGGATGAGATACATGGCTTGTTTTGCAGATTCCCGATACCTCAGTAGGAATTTTGATGTAGAAACAAAACCATCTGAAAGTAGACTCCTTAAGCTTTGCAACAAGTATTCATGGGCCTCGAGATTCCTTCTAGATCAGCGAGCTAGGCTGTCACGCCCGGAAATTCACTAGTAATTTCCGAACTTATTTGTGCATAAAATCCTTGTCTAGGAATCATCCGAGATACACAAACTGACAATTTAATATACAAATCCATCATAATAATAACGTTACATACTTACAAAAGAAAAGAAAACAGCAGCGGAATAACGGTCTAGCGATGGCTTCAGCTCCACTCCCACAGGCAGCTCAACTGGGGTATAAGCCTAACGTCTTCTCCTTCTGGATCCTTTTTCTTCAACTGAGGTTGATTGATTATTGCAAGAATGAGCATATGACATACGCAACAAGCCACACAGCAAATATGCAAGTGCACAAGGATACCAAAGGATGGCATAATATAGTCTCATTTGCGAAAGCAGCATTTAACAAAGATTTAAGAGTAGTGAAACAGTAGAGTAATTAATCAGAAATTTTAATCAATACTGAACAGCACACCCATACTGCTCAGACCCAACCAAACCTGAACAACCAACCCCGGTCGTACAGATCAAACCTCCAAACCAGGAATTTACCATTCCAAACCAGGAGTCAAATTTATTTTCACATTATTATCATTAATGAGTAGTGTGGGACTAATCACGAAAAACATTGCTCAACCCGCCCATGACCGCGGGAACGGCTATTCGAATAGTTTTACTCTGGCTAGAGGAGTACCACTGTACCCACAAGACACGATTCTACATATGTTGCCATGCCCCGAAGTACCACCACGGCACTGCAAAGAGGGAAATCGTGACAGTACCCTTTGTACAACACAACTCACCACAGTGCACCATTCCTGGATCATAATCACCCCCTCAAAAACCAGAGGCATGGACTCCCCAGCGACCCCACGGACTTCTCGCCGCTTCTCAGTCTGGCACCCCGTAATGAATGATGCTATATAAAAGGTAAAGCCGTTGCCCATGCTGGCTTGTGGTTGGCACGGTTAATGTCTCACAACAGTAGCTCGCGAACCGATCCTTTATTGTCATGAGCACGACCTTCAAAACCATATGCTCACAACCCACCTTAATCC